AATAGTTAATTAGTTGCTTCTGTATGGATATAGAATATTCAAGCAAGTTCAGATGCCTCATCATAATTCACAATTTGACTATTTTTATTACAAAATTGTTTTTTCCAGAGCTGCTGTACATAAACTTACCACTAAATTTATGACTGATGGCTTAAATGCATAATTCATGGGTGTAGGCCACGAAGAGACAAATACACGGGTAAGGTAAATGGCATTTTCTTCTTCCAATTTCTAATCTCTATGCGACTCTAGAGAAAAAAAAAGCATCAATACTCATGGTTGATGGTCGGTGTGAAAACAGAAGCTTTAGAATATTTCTCATGCAGTGTGAAGACCTAAAATAGTTTATTGCATTGGCTTCTATGTTTTTGCTAGGAAATGTGATCTACCACATCAAGCATTTCATGTTTAGAATTCTGAATAGTTTTACCATATTAAATATAAAAAGAGCTCTAGTCTTTCAGTTTTTGTGCATGACATATCTACATTAATCTCCTAATATTATTTCCATGCAAATATTAAACATATTTTTTACCTGCGCCTTAACCAGGTGATTTGCCGGCGCGCACGAGGGCGCGCATCATGGACTAGTTTACAACACGCTGGATGGTTGCCCAATCATTGGGTGATATTGTTGGCCACTCGATCTCTGGCAAGGGTGAGCCGACCGCTCACCAGTGTTTCCAACCACACACTATAGCTAGAGGTAGAAGAAGGGAAGGAGAACAGAGCGCGCGCGCACACACAGCACAAGCACCAGTGTTGGCCGGAGCTCTGCAGAGGAGATGGCAAAACTGAACTCGCTCTCTTTACTGAGTTGCAGTGGAAAGATATATATACAACTCTACCCATCTAATCCTAGTATATAGACATACCAGGCTGTCATGCTGCTATAGTGACTAGATGTGACAAATAGGGTGACTTTGGCACTGCCCCTCATTGTTGCTTTCTGAGGCGGCGGGGGGAGCCTTTCGGCGCCTGCCTCTGCAGGTGACTCTGAGCAAAGAAAGAGGAGCCTTTTCGCTTTGTCCCTACAGCAGTTTATACAGGGAGCAAAGCAGATTACTTAACAATTCTTTCCTTAATCCTGTTGCTAACCCTAGAACCCTCTCCATGCCGATTATCTTCTTCAGCTCCGTGAATCGAAGACGGTCGAGCAGCTTGGTGAGAATGTCCGCGAGTTGCCGACTAGTTTCGACGAACTCGATGACGATCTGCCCTCCATCGACACAGTCCCTGAGAAAGTGGAACTTGACGTCGATGTGCTTGCTCTGGTCGTGGAGAACCGGATTCTTCGCGAGGGCGATGGCGGGCTGGTTGTCCATCATCAGTGTTGGTGGGTGAGCTTCCACACCGGTCGATTCGTCTCAAAGGCGGCCCGGTAGTGACCATTTACGCCTTAGCACGCCACTGTGGCCACCACCACGTACTCTGCCTCACACGTGGACAGCGCCACCACCTTCTGTTTCAGCGACAGCCATGAGATTGGAGCCGACCCGAGGAAAACGAGCACAGCAGAGGTGCTCCGTCGTCCGTCGATGTCGCCCGCCATGTCTGCATCGCTGAACATAGTAAGTTGTAGACCACTTCCGCCGGTCTTGGGGAAGACGATCCCCTGATCCGCCATCCCCTCGACGTAGCGCAGCAGCCGCTTCACCAAAGCCCAATGATCCTCTCGGGGATCCTCCATGAAGCGGCTAACGTAGTCCATGGCGAACGCAATGTCCGGCCTCGTGTGGACTAGGTAGCGCAGACCACCGACGATGCTCCTCCATGAAGCGGCTGACGTAGCCCATGGCGAACGCAATGTCCGGCCTCGTGTGGACTAGGTAGCGCAGACCACCGACGATGCTCCGGTAGAGTGTTGCATCTACCTTCGTCGTGGTATTGGCCTTCGTCAACCGACGATGCTCTGATACCACTTGTTGGCCCCTGGATCTCCAGCAAAGGTGAGCCGACCGCTCACCAGTATTTCCGATCACACACTATGGCTAGAGGTAGAAGAAGGGAGGGAGAACAGAACGCATACACACACAGCACAAGCACCAGCGTTGGCCAGAGCTCTGCAGAGGAGATGGCAAAACTAAAGTCGCTCTCTTTACTGAGTTATAGTGGGAAGATATATATACAACTCTACCCATTTAATCCTAGTACACAGACATGTCAAGCTGACATGCTGCTAAAGTGACTAGATGTGACAGCAAGGCTGACTTTGGCGCATGTCCCTGCTGTGGCTATAGTGCGGCAGGGGAGCCTTTCGGTGCATGCCCCTGCAGCGGCTACAGTGCAGCAGCAAGGAGCCTTTCGGCGCATGTCCCTGCCGCGTGTTCATACAGGGGAGTAGCAGATTACTTAACAGATATGTCCACACCAACTTGTCAAATCCATTTGACCCAGTTTGTCCATAAGTCCTCTAAAATTGCAACTGATAGTGACTATCAGTGAATCAAACTATTTAAAACAATGTTTAATCCATATTGCAAATCATAAATACTATTGTGTTTAATGACCGTCAATATGTACTTGGGGCTGTGTAGTTGCTCTCTTGCAGAAGAGAACTTTATAATTCAACAAGATGAAACCTCAATTTTCACACAAGTTTGAAGGTGAAACTTGTACCCCATTAGCAGAAAGGGACTGATACAGAATTTGAAAAATATGAAGATATTCGTGGAAAAATGCACAAAGTTCTGAAATGCAGTGAAATTTAAAAATCTTCATTGTAGGAAAAATACACTTTCCATCATAAAGGAAAAAACCATTGATGCTTGTATTGTGTTAGTACAACTCAGTGCCATGTCAGACAACGGTTAGAAAGTCATTGTGCTTTTAATTTGTTCACACCATGGAACAGCAACTATAAGTGAAGAAAGCTTGTCATCACTGTAAGCTGCTATAGCTGTCCCCTTCTGCTTTTTCACATCATCATTATTTATAGAGCTTTCCAGTTTGCTAAGCATTGTTATTATCAAAGGAAAAAAATGAAGTCAATGCTGACAAGTCTGATTTGAAAGGTTACGAAAAAGTAAGCCTTAAACAGGTATTGCTTGTGACCTTCAGTAACTCAGGAAGGACTGTTTTTCCTTCCCTTTTCTGTTGCTTGCGACTTGCACTATGGAGCTATATTTTCGTAACTTTCTCCACAAGCATCAATACATGCAAATTATAAGCATGACGTTCCGTTGCCTTATTAACAAGCAACTTTTGCCCTCAAAGGTGTTGAAAGATGCGGTGCCAACCCCTTGCTGGACATGTTTGAACCAGTTTCCTGAAGATGGGGGTTTTACTTGGGTGCGTGTGTGTGCACACGCTTGTCTAATATTAGCATATGATCTCTTTGTATTCCATCTCTATCTGACCCTGATTTTCTGCATAGTTATTATGGTATTTTGATATGAAACCCATGAATTTTGAAAGAGAAGCCAAGAATAGCTCGACATGAAGTACAAATGTGAGCTAAAGTATGCCATTTCAACAGCTGTAGTGCAAATTTACCATTAGTCGCCACACCAACAGTGCTTAACAGTGCATTCTAGCTGGCTCCTTAACCTGCCGAGAGTAACATCCAGAGGAGCAAGTCAATTTTTTTAAAAGAATACAAGTCAATTTGCTGAACAGATGGTTTGTCAAAAAAAGTGTTGTTTTTTCAGAGGATGCGTATAGAGAGTGGATTACATGAAGCTTCCTGCAGGAAGGTGGTGATGGCCATAAAAAAACCGAGTCTTGCACGAGCTCTTCCACTTGGCATAAATTCTCATTTCAGTACCCGTGTCTGGCTGCCTGCATATTCTGTGGAGGACATTGTCGCAATGACATGGAACACAGGTACATGTGTCACGGTGTTCAGGAAGCAAATTTCCCATTGGCATCTTCTCCAGTTCTCACTGACCTTCCTGCAAAGAGACATACCACCCGTCAAGCTCCTGAAAGCTACGACATTGGATCAGGAATAGAGACCTCTTACCATGTCCTCTGCTCTTTGGCTCTTGCGCATCAACAGCCTGGGCCACCTCTGGCATCCTGAAGTGACCTCTCCTCTGAGCCCAAGGATGAGAATGGCTGCTGCCTTCTGAAATCTGAACGGCCCGCGGGACGCCCCTTGAGTGAGCCTGGCCAAGTGGCCATTTCGTCGAGCACCTCGATCGCATGACGGTATGAAGCTTTCCCCACTCGGCCTTTCTCTGGCGCTGCTGCGCCCAATGACCGCATTAGCCTCACTCGACGTTTCTAGCTCGCCGTGATGGCGTGATCCTCACCGTTATACGGTGGAGCAGAGCAGCGGCGCGCCCCCGGCCGTGCGGTTGCGCTTGTGGTTGTGGGAAGGCAGGTCGCCGGAAGCCCGAATTACCAAAACACCCTGTGACTGACAGAGGGCCGCGTCCAAAACAAACTTGGGCCGATTGGACGGGTGGGTGTACGTACCGCCGTCTAAGTGGGCTGAAATATGTGTGCAAAGCCCGTACAAACTAGCAAATTTGCCTCCTTCCACTCAAAAAAAAAAGCAAATTTGCCTCCTTTTAATATATAGGATTTTGAATTAAATAAGTTTTCTGCTTTTTTCCAGGATATCAAATTGAATAAGTTTTTCTTCTATAGAACCCTTGAATTCAGAATCACCACTCCGGTTTCAGTACCAAGCTAAAAAATCAACAGCACCTCCTTTTTCTGAATCATATACAGCACCATCCACATTCAGCGAGTATTACAGACCACCGCCCCACCCTTTTTCTGAATCATATACAGAACTCAACAAACAGCACCTCCTTTTTCTGAATCATATAATTCAGCGAGTATTACAGCTTGCCCCTTTTTTGAATCATATACAACACCATCCACATTCAGCCAGTATTGCAGCCCCTCCTTTTTCTCAATCATATATGATACCATGTACATTCGACGACTATTTACAAATCAGTGCTGGGGTCACTTCTCGGTGTGGTATACATGCAAAACTACAGTAAGATGGCTGTTCGGTTTGGTAAGTTGTGTTGAGTTCCAGGTCAGCCCACAAGCAGCTTGTCACTGAGCTCCTTGCGATAGACATGGATGAGACCTGCACTGTCGATCGTGTGCAGCTTCTCCTTCAAGATCTTCCTGTAGTGATCGTCATCATCTTCCAAGTTTCTCATCATTTCAATCTGGTAAACAAAGACATGTACAGGATATCAAAATCTCACTTCCGCCCTCCAGGCCAGTTTCACAATTATGTACCTAAATGATCACTGCACATATATTTAACTTAAAACTACCTGTCTCTGGAATGACTCGAATTCGTCAGAGCTCAAGGAGCCATCACTGTTTGCGTCAAGAAGGTGCATGAGCTCTGTTGCGTCTTCGCCTCCAGCGCCTAGATCCTCCATCACCTCAGTGAGCTCCTCGATGCTGATTCTCCCGTCCCCATTTTTGTCAAGCTGACAGAAAGCCGGGTTCTTGCAGTTCCCAGCTCCGTGATCACTGCCTGGTAGGTCTCGTAGACGCAGAGCTGCTAACTCCGCTGCGGCCAACATAATAGTCTTGAGCCTTTTAGCCTGGACATTGGACAACATAAGAAGAAATGGTGGTTCTAAGCAATGCCCATATAACATCATTTCAGTTTAGTATATTGTTTTCTGTCTCTGTTGTCAATGAAAAACACTTGTTTATGTCAAAACCCAACTTTCAAAACTTGCTAAATCCAAGAACTTAGTGTAATGTAATAGAAGGAGCAGAACTAGAACTAGGGTAGTTTTTTACCTCTTCAGGATCAGTAAGACCACCTTTGTAGAGAGAGTGAGATGCCTCTCCACCAACAGCAAACCTATGCATCTCCTTGGTGCGTATCTGTATCTCCATTAATGGCCTCACCTTCCCAGGTTCACTGACATCGATGGCCACATGCAAGCTCTGGTAACCGTTTCTTTTTGGGTGAGTTATATAATCTTTTGTTCTACCCGAGACTTCCTTCCACATAGCTTGAATAATTTCGTATGTCCTGAGGCAAGCCCTAGGGCCCCAATCGGATGAATTGTCATCACATCGAGGCTCCAAGATTACCCGCAAACCTAGTATGTCTTTAACTTCTTCTGGTTTCCGACCATCTTTTACTAGCTTCTTCATAGTACTGAAACGGCTTTTGTACCTCCCTTGAATTGAGATGTCCTGTACAATCCTCTTCAACTCATTATCAGCCTGCAGTGCTTGAAGCAACTGCTCCTTGTACAAATTTATTATGGCCTTGCAGTCACTTTCTTGGCTTCTCAACCACTGATCAACATGGTCATACGAATGAGGAAACAAGTAACGAAATGAAAGATCCTCTAATTCTAGTGATAGATTACCCGCTCCAACAGCATGTGCAAGTGGGGTGTATATCTTCATGACTTCAAGAGATTTTATCTGCTGCAGATACTTAGGGAGGTAATCAAGGTGTCGCATCATATCAAGCTTTAGTGCAATCTCCAATATCACTGCCCTGATGTCATAGTATGAAAGAATAAACCTTCTCAATGCGCTTGCACTTTCATCATCCAATACGTCAAGCTTCGAAGGAGAATGCTTAATCCTTAAGCTGTCATGCAGCAAATGAGCTGTGCTGGTCCCAATCTGAGTTTTTACATCCCTCATGCTTACAGCTCCTGTATCTAATGCTTCTCTTAGTATGCCAGCTGATATGACTTCAGCATCCATCTGTTTTCAGCGTTC